TCTATTTACAGACAGAAAAGGACATTTCCATGATACACTAAACCAGCAGCTAACAAACGATGAAATACGTATTGAAACTTATAGTAAATACATTAAACTACGATTGATGAACATTGATCCACAGTGGAAACTTCACTATTACTGGCCTTCTTGGTCGTATCTTCAACTAGAAAAATTAAGATATCACCAAAATACACAACGCCTGATACGACAAAATCAATCACACCAAACCAACAGTCAATGCCTTCTTTTAAGAAGAGAATTACTTCGTCCCAGCAATTATACATCACGTAATATTATTAATGAAAACATAACAACACTTATTCCCACCTTTGTACGTACAGGCGATACTTACTTTTATCAAAAACAACTCCACTTAAATGCTATGCTGAAGAAGTTCAGACTACCCACTTTATTTATAACTCTAAGTATGGCTGAAAGCCAATGGACTCATCTTCATAATATACTACTAAATAGCAATAATCATGATACCCTATCTACAAACAGACCATTCCATACAACAAATCATTTCACTCACAGATTTCAATCCTTAAAAAAAAAACTTTATAAAAAACCAACCCTCACGGAATTCAGAGAAATAACCAACTTTTTTAAAAGAGTCGAGTTTCAAAATAGAGGAGCTGCCTATACACATAGTTGTTATTAGACAACCAATACTATCGAAAATATGATTTCAAACAATATAATACGATCAACCATTCCAGACCCCATACGTGAACCCGAACTCTATGCTGCTGTTATTGCTAACCAAATTCATACATGCAATGCGAAATGTCAAGGACCAGCACTTCCAGCTTGTAAAAAAGGATTTCTACGCCCCTTTAGTGAAATGACCTGTTATGAAGAAGGAAATTCACGTTATACGTATAAATGCCTAACTGAAGCTGACTCATGGGTTGTTCTCTACTATCCAGCAACTCTTTTAATCTGAAATGCACATATGAACGCCCAATATATAACCAATAAAGGATTCGCCAAATATATGGTCAAATATATAGCAAAACCAGAACCGTCACATATATTTAATATTCATGAAAACAACCTATTCAGAGAACATGTAATTGCATGAAGACTTGGATCGATGGAATTAATGTTTCTACTTCTTGGGCATCAAATATGTAACTCTTCTGCTACCGTAAAATTCCTTACTACCGACCCTCCACCAACGAGATCACGTGTGATACTTCCTGCTTTTATGATAGACAAAGATGACGAAAATCCATATTATGATAATACAATTATGAAATACATGTCCCATCCTCATAATCCCAAATTTGAAAATCTAACTTACCCAGAATATTTTGAAAAATATTCAATCACCTCCTCACCACCTTCATCAACATCACGCCATATTTATTGTGACGACCTATCCAATTATGTAATAAAACAAACAAAAGAAATACTAATAAGACACCGTTTTCTAAAAATTGAAGATGGTGAATTATACTTCTATCAACAACTGCTACTAAAAATCCCAGCAAGAAATGAATCTGATTTTAAACTTCAACCAAATGGAACATACCGAGAAAAATTTTTATCTCTATTTCCTGACTTTTTGACAAATCTACAAAATCAAACTAGACCTACACAACATTCCCGGCTAACCTATCTAAATAATCAATTTATTAAAATGTTAGACAGATTGCTACATTTATTAAATTACCAACTCCCTGATAATCTTAATCGCATTATACAAATTCAAATGGAAAGCTTAAAGATTCTTCCCCATATATTTCCATCAACAACTATGCTCGAATTACCCCAAGACCAGTATCGAGCATTATCAACAATCTCTACATACATGGACCGAAATGATGGAATAAAATGGCCATACTATTTTATTACTGGTCCAGCTGGAACAGGAAAATCCTATATAATAAACATGATTACGGATATGCTTAACCGAAGACACACAATATACTTATTATTGGCCCCCACTGGAGTAGCTGCCCAAAATATAGGAGGCAAAACTATTCACTCAGAAATACACATCATATCTACTCAACAAGGTTTCCGGACCCACGCTCTCGCAGACAAAGAACTAAAAACCCGCTTACAAAAAATAAATAATCGGATTATAGAAGAAATATCTATGGTCTCTGCTGAACTACTTGATTTTTTATCTAACCTATTCGCAAACCTTTATAATAACTCTATAGCCTTCAGCGGCATAAATGTTATAATAATCGGTGATCTCTTTCAACTCCCTCCCATTACTGACCAGCCAGTTTTCAACGCAACCGTCTGGCCATTTTTCTACCCACTATTTCTCAAAACCCCACAATGTCAAAACAACGATTCCACTTTTTACAACCTTCTAAACGAAATAAGAACTGGCAACATTTCTGATGAAACTTGGCAAACATTACAACAACGTCATTCACAATTCTTTATATGACCATCAATTGACATAACTCTTAACACCACTCACATTGTTGGATTCAAAGAAAATGCGCAACAAATTAACAGAATGATCTGCAACTTACTACCTACACTTGATACCAAATTCCTAATATCAAAAGCCATCGATTATGTAAACTCCACAGAATGGGACCCATTTAACTCTGAACAAATGTTTAATTCAAGAACCAACCTACCCAACTATGTCTGTCTACAACCAGGTGCATGAGTAATGTATCTTAACAACTACCTCATAGAACAAGGAATATGTAATGGAACTATAAACATAATAACAGACATAAATCCTACAGACCAATCTGCCTGAATTGCATTCTCTATAAGAGATTCAATAATTGATATTGACATTTACAAAATCACTCATCACTTTGAAATTAATGAAAATAACTGCAGCTGTATAAAATTCCCTCTCCAAAACTGTTTTGCACTTACTGTACATAAAACCCAAGGCCTAACTCTACCTCGAGTATCAATCGCACTCGATCAAAATATTTTTTCACCAGGCCAAGCTTACATAGCCCTCAGCAGATACCCCAACTAGAATAACATCGAAATATCTTACCTTAATAAATCGGCATTCATGACTGATCAAAGAGTTATACAAGAATATCAAAGGCTCGAAAATACCTCAAGATCAAATCTCCACATCTTTTCATAAACATATACTAACCACAACTTAACATTTCTCTATATACTGTAGAAAACCGAATTATCACCCAATCTACTTTTTCTTCATCATCATATTTTTCTCTTCTATTATCTTTTTTTTATAATTCAATTTTTTATATAACACCTTTTTAGTAAAGATCAACACAAATCTAATAAACTGTAATTGTAAAAATCCACTTTCATACGTATTCAAAAATTCAACGAATTTCATAAATTTCACAAACATAACTTCATAATATTCAAAACTTTCATAATTTCATAAATTAATAACTTTAATAAATTATATATCATACAAAATAACAATCAAAAACTATTAAAACAATACCTTTCTATCTTAAAAATAAACTCAACCCCTAAAGTTTGAAAACCCTTGAAATATATAATCATAATATCTACATTTAGTCTATCTCAAAAATCATACAACGCTATCCTATCTACTTATCTCTACGTACAACTATTAAAAATCATATTTCGTATATACTAAAAAAAAAAATGCGACGTTAATAATCTAAACCCTTACATAACAAGCCGTTAAAATTACACCAATTATAAATCATTTCCATGAAACAAAATAAAACTTAAATAATCCGTACAAATTCTAACCAAAATTAAAATTTAACATACATTATTTCTAATACGTACTCATAAATTTAATACTTTTATATATAGCGTTTCAAAAAATTCACAAAACAATTACATAATCCTATATTTACTTACATAAAATTTGAAACAACTAAAAAAACTTATTCTTACAATATTATACTATATATCAATATTATCAAAATAACTTCTAATAAAAATTAATAAAACACTTAACCTCACTTAATCTCCAACATTTATATAAAAATCAAACAACCAAAAAATAATCCAACAAACTTTAAACAACTTTTAACTATAAAAATATAACTACATCTTATAAAAATAAAACTTTTTATTATAAACCAATATAAAAACTTATATAACAATACTCTTGAATATAAAATAAATAACCAAAACAAACTTCCATTATACTCTTCTATAAATTTCAAATATAAATACAAAATATCATATTCTTATAAACCAATCAATTTACAATTTACTATCTTTAACAAAAAAAAAATAAAAATTTTCAAAATACAAAAATCATAAAAATCAAAAATTAATCTATTTAATCCAAAATTAAAATTTAATTATTATATTTATAACATTATAATTAAAATATATTAATCAATAATAACTTTTGCAATACATATTATAAATCAACCAATCAATTCTCCTAACACAACCTCACATTTTCTAAATAAATAAAATTTTTTTACACCTAAAAACTATCAAAAAAATAATTACCAAACATCAAACCACAAATCGTGGGTACTGAAAAAATACTGGCTAGTTAATGATAAAAAAAATTATCTAACAAAAAAATAATTTGGTCGTACATAATGTAATATGTATAGTGCATGTTTTTATGTTTTTTCTTTCACGGAGTACTTTTCTTATTATAAGAGTAAACTGGCGAGAAGTGTAACCCAGAAAGGTTATAAATCTCACTATAACACTAGTGTTACCTGCTCGTGATAAGTATGACATATGATCCAATAATATAATAAAGCAATTGATAAGCAAGAGAAACTTACAGATAGCGAATACTTGCATCGACTGGTTATTCGTAAAATTTTACTGCTATACCACCGTTAATGACAAATACTACCACTACTTCTAATTCTGTGTCCTCTCGGAGCCGAGCCATTCCTTTGAATAGTGCAGTTGCTCCACACTTAGCAATAATGTCTAGTTCGTCTGCTTCACCGTATCCTCCACTACCTGCAACAATGACCAATCCGCCCCCCCGTCCTGCAATATCCATCTTTATCAGCTGGTCAAGCTAGCTCAACGTACTTACGATCAAACATTAATCCGGTTAACGCGGCTTCAACCACACACGCGATTGGTTCTTCTACACATTCGACTTACTACAACCATCCACTCGCTTCTTCTTCAGCTCTTTCAATGAACCTGTCTGCCTCAAGCACACAAATGAAGTCAACTCCTCCAAAACCTAAACTTCCAGAATATCTTGCTAATACAAGCTTTGCGGAGCTGTACAATAAGGTCCATGCGGAAAAGCTTTCAGCGGACAATAACGTAGCAGACAAAGATTCGCTCGATTATGTAGCCTTACCAACTGCATGGAATGTCGATGATAAATGTGCTCTATTGAACGTAGATTCAGATAGACTTAGAATAAATTATATAGGTAAGGCGAATCGGATAATATATTGAGACCATTTAGGTTTTGAGAAGCTCTAGGAGATATGATCGCTCATTCGATCCTAATATAAATAATTTGTTGAACACAAATGATCCAAAAGTCATACTTGAATTCTTGTTATTTGGCGATTTAAATTTAAATTCACTTGATCTTCATCTAAAAAATTGTCAAGGAATTTGTTAACTTACGCGAATTTTCAAACGCAAAGGTTCTGGAAAAGCTGATACAGACGCTGCTGCGATCCGAGCAAATCATCCGATGCCTCCACAATGTGGATTATTTTATTTTGAAGTTGATATTATAAGCAAAGGGAAGGATGGGTAATATAATATTACTGAATATTATTTTAGCATCATATATATAATCAATACTCTTATATTTATAATGCTTATTGATTTCTTAAAGGCATATTGGGATCGGATTTTGTGCAAAAACAGTTCTTCTAAATAGATTACCCGGTAACAACACAACTTTTATTTATTAACTATCGGTTGAACTACGGTATAGATAGGCAGGCTCGTTAATGGTCATGTGCGCGTATTAAAAATCAATGATTAAT